CGGCGGTTCCAAGCGGAGGCCAAGCTGACGGTAACGGTAGTAGCACTGCCGCCAAAAAGGGTAACGGGATGGCGACGGGGATATCGTCGAGCGAGCTGCGAGCGCAGCAGGGCAAGGAGGACAGGCCGGTGTTCGACATGTTCTCCGCGGCGGCGCTGCCCGCGACGGCAGGCGGGCCCGGCGGAAAGATGGGCGGCAAGGGGGGGGGGGCGCACGGGATGTCGTTCTTGGGAGAGGATGGCGGCGGGGACCAGGTAATAAGATCGATGAGGTCGATCCACGGACGCGACTTGGCCGCGACGACCGTGGTTTTGTGTCGCGATATGTGTTGGTTTTTTTTTGTGCCGCTTGTGCGGAGTGTTGGAAAACGCGGAGACCGTCTTCGACGGAAGGCGTGGGGCTTGCTCTGAGCAGAAGCTGTTGTCCTCGGATGGTTGTTCTGGTGGTAGGTGTGGGTATCACAATCCGGCACAAGCAAACCTTGGGAATTGATTGTATTGTGTAGTCAAGACCAACGACCCGTGGCATCCATTCAATCCGCTGCAAAAACTGACAACGGCCCGTGTTGTTGTTGTCCGCGGCTCTTCAACGTTGTCGGTGCCGCTCCGCCGCTTCCCTTTTTTTATTTTTTTTTATTGTGCAGGGTAATTGGACGGATGTAGAGGGGTACTACAAGACCAGGGTGGGGGAGGTAATCGGGGGGAGGTACACGGTGCTGGGATCGGTCGGCCAGGGGGTCTTCAGCACCGTACTCAAGTGCCTCGACACAAGGTAATAAACGGATGACGGTTTTGCACGACAAAATCCTTGCCATGTCATGCGATGGTGGGATCGTACCGTACCGGCACAAGGCGGTGAAGGCCCCGTGGACTTTTTAGTATTTACTTGTCGTCGTTTTCAGTCTTCTCGGCTATTGTAACGTGGCAAGGGTAACAGTTAGGGCTGGCAATCTATCCTGCTGATGGCGGGATTTCGTGCCGCCAGAACTTCAGGCTCCACCACCGCCCTTGCCGTGCCAAGACCAGCTTGTGTTTCGTGTTCCTCGCGTTTGATCGTACCGTTCTTTGGAGGAGGGGGTGCAGGTGGCGGCGGTGTTCTTGCCCTGCGTCCTTTTTCGGTCCATGCGTGCGTTCTTGTTGCCGTTTCACTGCCTTTTTTTTTGTTCTCCGGTTGTCCGGGTGATATGGGCGGGACCTCCTTCCTCCATACACTCATTATGTTGCTTGTCTCTGCTCTGTGTCGTCAATGTTTTACCCAATCTGTTTGTATCTCGTGCCGCCGGCGCTACACGTAGCCTTCATATAGGCAAAGGTAGAGCCGCGCCCTTTTATCGTCGACGAGCGAATGACTGAACGATGTTGATGATGATCTGACGCTGTTCCCCCCTATGGCCGACGGCGTACACCACAGGGTGGCCCTCTGCACAACCTTTCCCATGTGCATCATAGGTGGCGCCAGAGCCCGGCAAGCAAGCAACGTTGCTGCTGTGCTAGCCACGCTAGTGTGTCTGGAGAAAGGACGGCCATGATGGAATGGAAGGGAGGGGAACGTGTGACGTGTGAGGTAGTCCTTTTATTCCCGTATCCCTCCCCTCTCTCCCTCGTTGAGGACATGTTTGGTGCTACAAATATATTTGCTCATTTCGAGCATGGAATGAAGTGTCAGCGACAGTCTTTAATGATTATTCTGAACTACCGACGTAAAAACCTTGTTTTTTCTAGGTTCATGGACCCGCCCACTACGGCGGCCGCGGTCTTGTTTACCCGCCTCCCAGTTCTTTTTTGTGTGTGTCGCGCCAGCGCGTGCTCAAGTGTGCCTTGTCTTACGGCGAAGAGTGCGGGGTTTTTTTGATCGCAACGTGACTTGCGTCGTGGCCGTCGAGAACTGACCCTACCAACTGCTATTTTCGCCCCGCTACTGCCTCGCCCATGTTTTTTCGCCGCTCTCTCTTTTTTTCGTTCCCGCACTCTTCGCACACGATTTGGCCTGTGGCGGACGGGCCGCGTTTCTCGGGTGCCTGTCCGACTCTGCGTCCTTCCTGCCCGCGGTCCGACATTTTCTCGGAAATTTATTGTGGTTCCTGTCTCCGGATCATGTTGTTCCTCCGTGTGGGGGTGCTGGGCGTTGACTGTGCTCTTGCGGTATTCCCGTCGCGGGATCTGGGGGTGTTGGGTTCTGTTTGTGTTGTGGTTTTGTGTGCATCATTTGTGCGGTGGGACTAGGGCGGGGCCCGCGGCGGTGGGGGGGGGCTCCGAGGTGGCCCTTAAGATGATCCGCAACAATGACACGATGCGGAAGGCGGCGCAGAAGGAGGTGGCGCTCTTGAAAGAGCTCGCAGAGCACGACCCCTTGAACA